CGTGGACCTATACATGTAATGTCTCGCCACACGAACTTGGACCCATTATGATCTACAAATACCAATTTTCAGACAAATCCGTGAAAAAATGTGGCATAAATCATCAAAATACCGAATATCGGGAGGTACCGTTATATGGGGAATGTAGCAAAACGTGGACCTATACATACATTGTTTCGCCAAACGAACTAGGTCCCATTATGACCTACAACTACCAATTTTTCGAGAAATCCTTGATAAAATGTGGCAAAAACCATCAAAATACCGAATATCGGGAGGTACCGTTATATGGGGACTATACCAAAACGTGGACCGATATACCTCATTTTCAATACCAACCATCCTAGACACGATAAAAATTGCCCTGCTAAGTTTTCGCTCTATGTCAAATAATGTGGGCTGTATCGTGATTTCAACAGAGAGACAGAAAGACGGACAGACAGACAGGCAGACAGACAGACGGACATCGTTATATCGACTTAGAATTTTATGCTGATTATGAATATATATACATTATGGTGTCGAATAATTAGACAAACGGAATGACAAAGTTACTATACCCTCCTTTCCAATGTGGATGGTATAATGAAAATCAATTCAGAGTTGGATGTACCTCCCATATATTTGTTCCCTCTGATTCCAAATTATAACAGCTCTAAAGCCACAATACGAATTCAAAAAAGTTTCATAGTTGGTGTGACCTATGTCACCCGATTTTAGACTTTTCTTTACTGGTTTTAGTTCTACTTTCATACTCTTCGGGATGTTTCCTGTAATTATTGAAATAAATAGGTCGCAAAGTGTTCTAATTTTTAAAATTTTACAAAAATTAAATTCAAAAATGTTTCTGTAAATGTTTTAAAAAAATTCACCTTTTCATTCAACATTCGCAACATAAAATACCTTCTCTTGGAGGATAACATATCCCAGATTTTTTTTTTTTTTTTTTTTTTTGAAGTCCGTTCGGCTTAACATAACCTTAAACTTCATTTTTAAGCCATCGGCAAAATTCATTTAATAATAACTTATTATTTTCTCATTCGAAATATGAAACAATATCCTCATATTTAAAATGGCCTGCATAAAATATTCCCCCCCTCAAATAATTTATTAAATTTGAATTCAATTCAATAAATAAATTGTTAAACCAACAATAACAATTCGTTTCACCAAAATAAAGTTAAACAAACTTTCAATTTCCCATTCATTTCAATCACAAAAACTCCAATTTTCATAAAACCCAAAAGGCAACACCACTCCAGACCCAATATTTATGTTTGACAGTCGATGTTATTGCTGCCATATTTTTTTTTCGATTCTGCCAAAAGTGAAAGTCCTCTTTAGTTGATTTCATTAAAGTTTTTGTTGGACGAATTAAAAGCCAAACATCGAACAATCACTTAAAAACGCATCAATACATTGTGAGTATGTGTGTGTATCGCGGCATGTGTTTGTGCGGAACAAATCGACCTCCTGCTAATTTGTCACAAAATGTTAATTAAAAAGCATTCACAAACTGTGTAAATTTACTTTTCGGCAATCGACAATCCACTCAATTTATGCTTTATTGAATGAAGGTTGGAAAGGCAAATCAAAGCGAAAAAAATGGGGTGAAGTTTACAAAGGTATTTAACGATCGGAAAATGGGTAGCAAAAACATGTTGGATGATATGTTGCTGGTGACACAATAAATACAAAAAGGGGAAAAAACTTTCAAAAAATGATTCCATGTGATTAAAGTGGCACAGTGGAGGAAGAGAGGGAAAAATCTGGAGGATGTACCTAACAACGGTCTGTAGTGTTACAACTTCACATTCATATCACAACTCGGAAGACGTTTCAAAGGTATTCTCACGATATCGACCGTTCAAGAGTCTTTTATAGATGAAGGGCTTTCAAAGGTTACTAAAGACGAGAGATTACACTGTACGACAAAAATATTTTTTTATACCCTACACCACTAGGTGGTCAGGGTATTATGTCTATGTGCATTTGTTTGTAACAGGCAAAAGGAAACGATATAGACCCATAGTTCCTTTTGATGATCTGCATAGAATCACATTCTGAGTCGAGTTATGCATGTCCGTCCGTCCATTTGTCCGTCCTTCTCTCCATGTATTTTTGTAAACAAACTACAGTTCGCATTTATTGCCTTATCCAGATGAAATTTTGCACAAATCATTTGTTTGGCCCAAGGCCGAACCCTCTTGGATATTGGAAATTGGGGATAATCGGTAACAATTTAGATATAGCTTCCATATATATCTTCGTCCGATTTACTTTATATTGTGCACCAAACGTGTAATATCAGCCCGGATAAAAAGGATAATATCGTTGCACAACATAAAGTTAGGGTTAGGTTAGGTTGAAAAGAGGGGCGAAGCAATTCGCCGCATGCCCTGTTGGACATACACTTAAGCCAGTATAGGCCTGTTGTGCGTTTTAGACTAAGGGATTTTTGAAGATGGCGGGCAGCTTACGGTCTGTTGTATTTAAAAATTCAGTTGCCTTTATAAAATTTCTCAACTGTCTTATATCATTTACCATGGTCTGATTAAGGTCTGGTATGGAGTCGTTCCCTGAGAATTGAGATCTGAAATTTGTAAACGCTGGGCATTGGCAGAGAAAATTTTCCAATGTTTCGTGTCATCTTCCCCACATGTCCTGCATATGCTGGACATCCTATCTTGTACAGATGAGCTTGTAGGCTCAGGTAGGCCCCGTAAGAATGTGAGGTAACACTGATCTCTTTTTTACTTAGTAATGAAAGGTTTTTCGTTTTTATCTCATCGGGACAACATAAAGTACTTCCCCCACAAATGGTCAAAATTTTGTATAATTAGAACTCTTATAAAATGCGATTCTTCAAATTTTACATATCCCACCTGGTCTGGTGTTAAGATGATCCACTTTTTCTGGTACCTCCCCACAAAGGCTAAAAATTTTGAATATCCATGAAGCTCATAAAACGCGAAATTAATATACGATTCCATTCAGGCTTTGTACATCTCAATATTTCTATAGACACAAGACCTTTAAAAAAATTGGAAGAGATCAGACAATTCCCTCTGGTGCCTCCCCCTCAAAGGGTAGAAGTTTTGAATAACCAAAATGGATCATATAATCCGAAATAAGCATCCAGTTCTCTTCATATTTTGTGTTGTGAAAATTAAATATATACCGTTCTACACTGTATTTTACCTCCCCCACAAAGGGTCAAAATTTTGAACATACACGGAGCTAATAAAGTGGGAAATTTTCTTCCAATTCCATTCAAACTTGGTACATCTCAATATTTTCATCAACACAAGATCTGTTATAAAGATGGTAGAGATCAGACCATTCCTTATGGTACCCCCACAGAGGTTAAAATCTTGATTAACCCAACGATTGTAAAACCCAAAATAAGCATCAGGTTCGCTTCGTATTTCACACATCACATTATTTCTACTAACACAATATCTGCTGTGAAGATGGGGTATATCGGTCCACTCCTTCTGGTACATACTCCCAGAGGGTCAAAATTTTGAATATCCATGAAGCTCATAAAACTCGAAATTAAAATCCGATTCCATTCAGACTTGGCATATCTTAATATTTCCGTCAACACAAGCTCTGTTATAAAGAAGGTAGTGATCGGAACGTTTCTTCTGGTTCCTTCCCCACATAGGGTTCAAGATTTTGAAAAACAAACACTCAAAGAAAGCGAATTAAGCATCCGATTCTTATCAAAATTCACACATGCAAAAATTTTTGTTATCGCAACCCCTTCTGGTACCTCACCCATAAAGGGTCACAATTTCCAATACTTGTATCTGTCATAACTTGTGAAACAAGTCAGCGATTCTTTACAATTTGCTATACCTAAATATTTCTCTCAACCAGAAACCTGAGATGAATATGTAATTTATCGGAATTTATGATTTTGCATAAAATTGAATATAAATGTTCGATTTCCTTCAATTTTTGCACATACCAATATTTTTATCTGTATTAGATGAAGTATGAAAATGAAATACTTCGATCCGCTATATCTGTTACGCATTTTTCCACATTTTCCAAAAATTTGCCCATATCTCATATAAAGTACAGGAAGTTGACGATATAGTCCAAATTTCGCACATTGTAATATTTATATCAGTCTTAGGTCATATAAGAATTGGTCAGTATTGGCCAACTGCTTCGGAACCTCCCCCATAAAGGGTCAACACTGTGAATAATGATAATTCAAGGCTGAGGGTAAACATCTGTCAAAAACCCCGACTGATACTATTTATATGTTTTTGGACATGGTGGCAAATTATTTAGGGGTTGGATAAAATTCTGAAAATGTTCCTAATTTTGTAGTCACAATACAGGATAAAAACCTTAGCAGTTTGGATGGACATCGGTTAATAGCGGATAAAATGGACCACAATTTTGTGTGGATTTTTTCAATTTCTGCCAATTTCTACCTCATTTACTTTTCTTATTTCCTTCACTCCAACCCCAAAATAAATTTATTTTAAAAATCTGCACCACAGAGTAACAATCAACTTCAGTAATTTCGTTAAAATTAAAACAATTTTCGATAACCACTACCGGACACTTCTGTGGCGGCCAGGTAGAGGTATGTTGATGAGCATTCGTCGTCGGCAAAAATTCTTGCAAATTTTTGTGGCTACTAACCACAACAACAAATCCACCAACTGCAGAGGAGAGAAATAAAATGTAAACATTTCCTGTGACATGAAACAGTTGTGCCGAAATGTTTGCAAACAAAATAAACGACAAATGACAGCTAAAACAACAACAGCAGCAACACAATGTGGCCAACATTTTTGGGCCCGAGTTTTGCAACGTTTGTGGGAGCCAAAATATTGCACAGAGTGAGTGGGGGATGCGAGGGGGTGGGGGAGTACAAATGCAATTAACAATTTATGTGGCGTATAATAAATTCTTTAAAAGCAGATTAATGGATAAAGATTGTTAACTAACACGAAATATGTTTTTATTTACAGATATTCAAAGAATTCACGAACAATATGGCTAAAGACCGGATAGAAAGGAGAGTTGCAAGGAACACACCAAGAAATTAGGTGAAGGGGTAAGTTGAAGAAAATAATTAAACTATTTCTAAATAAAATAAATCTGATTTAGTAAAGTTCCTCTAAGATCTGAAATTTTGAGAAAATCATGAAGAGAAAATCTATGAGAAAATACTAAGAGATTTTCGATTAAGAAAATCTATGCGATCTTCTATTGAGAAATTCCTATGAGATTTCTGAAGGAAAATCAATGAGATTTTCTATGAGAAAATCGATGAGATTTTCTATGAAAAAATCTATGAGATTTTCTATGAAAAAATCTATGAGTTTTTTTATGAGATTTTCAATGAGAAAATCTGAGAGATTTTCCATGAGAAAATCTGAGAGATTTTCTATTGAGAAAATCTGAGAGATTTTCTATTGAGAAAATCTGAGAGATTTCCTATTGAGAAAATCTGAGAGATTTTTTATTGAGAAAATCTGAGAGATTTTCTATTGAGAAAATCTGAGAGATTTTCTATTGAGAAAATCTGAGAGATTTTCTATTGAGAAAATCTGAGAGATTTTCTATTGAGAAAATCTGAGAGATTTTCTATTGAGAAAATCTGAGAGATTTTCTATTGAGAAAATCTGAGAGATTTTCTATTGAGAAAATCTGAGAGATTTTCAATAAGAAAATCTATTAGATTTTCTTTAACTTCTTTTTTTAGAATATCTTCTGAAATGAAATACCAATTAGTTCAGATAAAAAACTGCAACAAAGTCAAGCGCCATATTTTTTAATTTTTTTTATTTTTATTGAATGAAAGCAAAACAAGTTAAAAAGTATCAGTCGGTAATGCCGCCAGAGATATACCCTCAGCCTATGTTCGATTATTTAAATATATTTTGACTAGTGTTAAGGTTATTAAAACGTTTGACCCTCTATGGAGCAGATCCCGAAGGAATGGACCAATATTGTCCATTTCCTATCGGACCCAAAATATGATATAAATATTTCGACAGATGTGCCAAGTCTATATGGAATCGGATGTTAATTTGGCGATTTATGAGCTTCATGGGTACTCAAAATTTCAATATTTTGTGGGGGAGGGACCGATATTGTTAATTTTCACACCTGTCCTAGCACTGACGCAAATATTAGGATTCGCAAAGTCGGAGCAAATTCGGATAAGCCTTTCTCTTTCCGTGCAAAAAATTTGTTTTTTTTTTTGAAAATTTCGACCTTTTGTGGGGGAGGTACCAGAAGGAGTGGGCCGATATTGTTCATCTTAACACAAAACCTTGGGTTAATATAAATATTTGGATGTGTGAAATTTGAAGACAGTCGGACTCTTACATAACATTTTATGAGAGTTGTAATTATTCAAAATTTTGACCATTTGTGGGGGAGGTACTTGATGGAGTGGACCGATATTGCCTATTTTCACACCTGAACTAGCACTGACGCAAATATTAGGGTTTGCAAAGTTGGAGCAAATTCGGATTATCCTTTCTCTTTCTGTGCAAAAAATATATTTTTTGAAAATTTCGACCTTTTGGGGGAGGACAACGAATGTTTTCTCATCGGAGAAAACCAAATTCGGCAGTTCACCACTTTCGGCAAAGCGAAGTAAATCTTTATCTCTTTTGAGAGTATTTTCTTTCTGTTGCGGTGTAAGTTATTCCACTTTTTGGAATTTCAATGGTTTTATCCCGAGCTCATTTTTCAATATTTGCCGAATGGAATATTGCGAAATGTTCAGCTCACAAGCCATTTTTTGGCCACTGCGACGCGGGTGTCGATCAAGTCGCTTCTTTATTTTTCGGACCATATCTGCTGATGTTGTTGTTTTCATCCGTCCACTTCTTTGACGTCGGGCTACGCTACCAGTACCAGTAACACTGTAACGAGCGATGGTACGAGACACAAAATATTTATTCACATTTAAATGCTGGAGTGCTCTAACGATAGCCACTTGTGGCTTTCCAGCCAAATATAAAGAAATCACACTATCACGCTTGAATTCCATCACGAATAACTTTTTTCTGGAAAATTCTCACCAAAATGCTTTTGTTCGCTTTTAAACAATATAATAAGCTGTTACTGGAATAATTTTAACAGCTGTCGGACGAGTGGCTTGAAAATGACAGCAGTCTGAAATTGGTTGCAGTTTTTTTATCTTACCCTGTAGATTTTCTATGAGAAAATCTATGATATTTTCTATGAAAAGATACTACAGATGTTTAATGAGAAAATCCAGGAGATTTTCTGTAAGAAAATCGATGAGATTTTCTATGAGAAAATCGATGTGATTTTCTAAGAGAAAACCGATGAGATTTTCTATTAAAAATGTTTTTGAGATTTCGTCTGAGATTTTCTATGAGAAAATCTGCAGATTTTTTTTTTTACTTATTTGTATACACTCCACCATAAGTTTGTCATTCCGTTTGTAAAACTTCGAAATATATATTTTGGGCTTCACAAATTATATAAATTTTTGATCAGATTCGATATCTATTTAACGGGATATCGTCGATATCTATTTAACGTCTGTGGAAATCAAAAATTGATAAAATTTTATTTTGGTATTGACAATGGACCATGCAGATCCACGTTGAAGATGGACCATGTAGCTCCATGTAACGGTACCTACCGATATTCGATATTTTGCGACAATATTCACCGGAATTGTTTCCAATTTGGTATTTGATATCCGTAATGGATGCTACATCCTATGACAGAAAATTGTCTGTGCAGGTCCACGTCTTCGTATAGCCCTTATGTAACGGTACCTCCCTATATTCAGTATTTTGATGATTTCAGCTTCATTATTTTTTTCAAGTTTCGCATTTGAATATTGTTATGGCTAAGAACAAAGACCCTGATATAACAGCTACATTCGGTATTTTTAAGATTTCAACAGAATTTTTAAGTTTTATTGTTTTGAGAATTGCCAAATTCGTTCCAAATGGTGGAGGGTATTCAAAGTTCGGCAGGGCCGAACTTACAGCTTTTTTATTTGTTTTAGCACATCTTCTAAAAAGAGATTACCAATTAGCCTTTTTTGCGTATAGATGACCATTTGCCCCATTTATGTGTGTGCTCTTTTAGCGCTAATCTAAACAAATTCGCACACCATCCATCCATTAATAAATCGTTTTATTTATATCTCGGCCATAATTTTCTATTTTTCTTTTCTAAACATTAAAACAATTTATTATAAATCGTTTGCGGATTTATTTCGAGTGAAAAAAAACCAAAATCGAAATGCTACCGCAACATATCCTGCATTACACCGTGGCAAACTCATTCATTATGCTAATGGTTTGTCGCCATGCCACAGACCATCACTAACTTAAATGCAACGAGTGAGTGCCTCCGACAAACCAACAAAACTCACAATCTAAACTACAGCAGCAACAACAACGCCAACAACTATCACCGCTGGCAGTTATTAAATAATTCATTAAAATGACAGAAGAAAAACAAAACACATCTTTTATGTGACAGCCTAAAACGTCCGACAATTAACATGACAGGAGTGGAGCATGGCGCATAAAAATGTGTAACAAGCAGCTAAACACCCCCTCCCCCCTTTTCACGGTTTGTCCACCACGGGACCATGCAAAAAGCCTAAGACCGGCAATTGCTTGCCTGCTTGCTCGATCGACATAACTAAGTGGTGGCATTGCTTTTGTTTTTGTTTGCAAGGCTTCATTTGGTCTTTGAACCAAAAAAAGTAAAACTAACTATGTGGCAAGTGGTATGCCACAAAGTGCCGCCACAACAATAACAACAACTACACCACCAATAATGTTAAGTATGTTTTAAAGCACAAAAACTCATCATCAATTCGCTTGGTTCGGATAAAACACATTGTTGTTATTGTTGTTGGTCTTGTGGTTTCGTGACTGTTGTCTCTGGTGGCTTGCTGCCTGGCAGGCTGCCTGGTTTGTGGTGCGGAATCTCACGGTTGCAAATGACAACTCTTGTTGTTGTGCCTCAACCGACCGAGGTTTTGTCAATACACGCCGTAAATTTGGTTAGCCGATTTAAAAGAATGCCATCGAACCAAACACCGGAGAACATTGAATCATCGCAGTTTAGCCATACAATTGACACATACGAAACCAGAAGTTGGTATTCGATTGACAAAGAATGCAATGGCAAAGTAATTTAAATTTTCATTAAAAGGGAGCATTGATGAGGACAGAATATAAATAAATAATTGGATCTTTTAATCAAGTAAAAAAACATTAAGTTCGGCCGGGCCAAACTTTTAATACCCTCCACCTTAGGGTAAATTAACATTAGAAGAAATGTGGCAAAAACCATTAAAATGCCGAATATCGGCAGGTATCGATTTCGTGGGGCTATACCAAATCGTGGACCTAAATATACAATGTTTCGCCAAAGGAGCTAGAACCCATTATGACCTACAAATACCAATTTTCAGACAAATCCGTGAAAAAATGTTTGCAAAAACAATCAAATTACCGAATATCGGCAGGTACCGTTATATGGGGGCTATACCAAAACGTGGACCTATAATTACAATGACTCGCCACACGAACTAGGACCCATTATGACCCACAAATACCAATGTTTAGACAAATCAGTGAAAAAATATGGCAAAACCCATCAAAATACCGAATATCGGGAGGTACCGTTATATGGGAGCTATACCAAATCATGGACCCATACATACAATGTTTCGCCAAAGGAGCTAGAACTCATTATGACCTACAAATACCAATTTTCAGACAAATCCGTGAACAAATGTGGCAAAAATCATCAAATTACCGAATATCGGGAGGTACCGTTATATGGGGCCTATACCAAATCATGGATACATACATGCAATGTTTCGCCATCGGAGCTGGAACCCATTATGACCCACGAATACCAATTTTTAGACAAATCAGTGAAAAAATGTGGCAAAACCCATCAAAATACCGAATATCGGGAGGTACCATTATATGGGGACTGTACCAGACCGTGGACCGATATATCTCATTTTCAATACCAAACATCCTAGAAACAATACAAATTGCTCTGCTA